ACCCCACTGTGAGCCACCACCCATCGATTTCCTAAAATGAAGGCGTAAAATGTTCGAAACAATTTCAATAACCGTTTCCGGGCTGGAGTTGGAGGCCAAATGCTGCTGGGGGAAAAGCTAATAGAAGAAGCTGCTGGAGCTGTCTGATGAGTGCTGAGTGAAATACTGAATTTAATTGAAAAAACGACTGGCGATGAAATCGATTTTGTTTTGTTTTGTTTCTGTTTGAATATTGGTCCCCGCTCAAGTTTTATTTGTAAACAGCCTGGGTAATTGAAAATGCCGCAGGTCAAAATAATTAATTGTGTTTTTCTATATATATCAAGGGAACGAACTGATGGCCAAGGATAAAGTTTTCAATTGAGAAACTATCACGAAATCCCGACTTTTCCAGTCACAACTCTGGCATCCTGAACCGAAGGATGGGGGCATTCTGGGAAATCTGTTGTGCTAATATGACACAGCAACGCAGCTTTTCCGGACCCGGAAAACCTATCCTCTCACTGGTTTTCACCTGAGCCCGTGGTTCCGCTCGCATGTTTTGGTTTTAATCTGCGACAGAGCATTAACTTTCCAACGCACACGGGCACAGCACCTAAATTGCTTCACTTCGGAGCTTCAGATGGCCCGAGGTCAGGACGATGATGTTGCAACCGGGACACTTTTCCGCCCCTATTTAATCCCCCCCGCATTTTGACCCAGCTGACAGGGGCTTAGGGTCCGTTTGCCGGGCGACATTTTATGAGCATTTTCTGGATTGAAACGAGCTGGCCAACATGCTGGACATGTCAGCGAGCCATATTGAGGCTGGACGCTGAGCTACTTAGGGTAGATGTATAACGCCATTCGGTGACGGTGCACAAAGTCCTGGGCAGGGAGTATCCACAGCTAGATTGGAAACAGAAATGGCATTTAAGGCATCTGTGCAAAGGGAATGCTGAAATTCCTACTCACAAGTGGAAACAACTCCATTAAATATTCTAAGTCTAAAATAGTAATTTTAGGTCGAGTTTTCTAAACAATGTAACTTACTTAAATACAAATTTGTAAGACCCTTAATGTATTTATTAAATAAAATTGTTTATTATGCACGTTACTCGAAGAGTAAAAAAGAATAATCGTTTTCTCAAAGAGATAAAAAGGTAGTGGCAATCGCATCTTCAACATAAAACATTTCTAATATGAAAATTAGTAAATAATATTTTTTCAAGAAAACAGTATACAACTATAGTTAGATTCTTTTTATTACATTTCGTGTTATTTGAGATCTTGATCTCAGATCTTGAGCCAGCACAAAACACACCATTATAACAAAACCAGGTCACAAAAAATATTAAAAAAAAAATATTGATCCAAACTTTAACGTTCAGAAGTAAATAATAAGAGCAGTGGTAAATATTTCAACAAATTCATTCAAAACAAATATTTTAAAGAAATAGAAATAGATTACCTAACTCTCCAATATTGTTTGCAAATTACATTTAAAATTATTTCAAAACGTAAAATTTTCTGAAATAAAGATGGTAAATTTTAGTTGAATCTAAAACAAACCCCAATTTAAGCACCAACCAGACAGCTTCAAATAAATGCTTTCAATGTTGTGAAATTGACTTTCGAGTTCATTAATTTTACACTCGTTTAACTATCTGACCAGCACGGGCACCTCAACGAAACAATTTAAAAGTCATCGTCGTCAGCGTTTGCAGAAACTCCTGCAACAATTCTTCCTGTTTTTCTCCTGTCAGTATCTCCATTTATTTTGTTGCACATTAGCTGCAGATAGAGAGGTGCAGACCAGTAGAAGAATTGGCCAAGAAGCCAGACACATGTGGCCCCATCTGTGGTCAAAATGTTCAAATTAAGAGCTCTTCTCAGCTATATAGCTTTATACCTTTATATTTTTGGTATTTCCTTCAAACCGTAAGCTTGTTCTTGCTGCAAATTGGACAATCAAAAAGTTTGGCAAACAGGTAAATTAAAGTGAGAGGCAAAAATGTTGGGCTTTAAAAAGATAATGTTTAGGTTGACTTAAGGGTGCGTGAATGAATGGAAAGACTTGGCACAACTTAAGAAGTCAAATACTTATTTTAAAGTTATTATTACTATTATATTACTTTAATTGAGGAAAAAGATACAAAAAACATCTGTTTTTACTTAGATATATGAATATCTAATGGAAGCACTCACCTGTGCCAGATGAAGTAGGGCCAAAAATGGCAAAAAGAAATCACCATTAGAGCTGTAAGTTTTTCCGCGCTGATTTCACATTCTGTTTTTGCCAAAGTTGGGCAATTAGATGAACGCGCCAAATGGCCTCTGTAACTCAGTTGAGCTCAGCTTGACTGGAAAGGCGCTAAAAAACACATTAAAATTAATTATGGGAAACACTCGACGCCATTTGCCAGATTCGCTGAAGAGTGGGTGCTGTGGCCATCATATTTTTTTAACTCACTTTTTTGCAGGCGCGCTTTTTGGCAACTAAAACGAAGTGAATCCATATGTGCAGGGTGAATTTTTGTTGCCCGGCTTTTCTCACCATTCTATTCCGCAACCCCCTCTCGCTCCCCCTTTCCCACTTCAAAGTTAATTATGTTGACATAGTCAGTTTCCGTAATTTCTTTCTTTCTCCAACCCTTTTATTAAAATGAGGGGCGGCATTTTCCGTGTGCTCGCCTGCAGTTTTTTGCACTTCTGCGACAACCACGCCCACGGCCCCCCGTCCCAGCAGTTATTAAGAATTCATGCCACACCCAAAGTTCCACAAAGACGCCCACGGGTGGGTGGAGAGTGGTTCCCTGGACGGGGGCATGGGCATCCAGATCGGACGGCTGCCAAGTTACTCAAATTAATTAAGTTTCGCCTTTGCCAACATCGAGCATACGCCCCATTGCGCGACCGCCCACAATCATTCCTACCTAGGAACCCCCGAAACCCTTCCCCCTCCCACTCCCCTTCCCCTCTCCCAGATCCTCTGCGCTGCAGGGTCTGCGGAGCTTTTAAATTTTTCAAGTGACATTTGCCAGACATTCTCCTCCATGTCTCATATTTTCTAACCGCAATCGGCTTCAGCTCCAGCAGCGCCCCCTGCCGGCCACTTTGTGAATGTTTGTGTGTGTGTGTGGGGGTGTGTGTTTGTGGGGGGGAGGGGGTAACCTTTTTAAAATTTAAAATTAATTGCTTTGGCGCAATTTTAATTATTAAAAAACTATTGATGGCACGGAGGTTGCCGTTAGGAAAAAATACATGACTAAAAAACCAAACAGCGGACCAACTTTTCCACTTGGGACCACCCCCCCAGAAAAGTTGTGACTTTAAAAAGCTTTTTCGTAGTTAGAGAAGTTGATGGATCGATGCAGTGATACAGTCGAACTTGCAGTCACAAAGTTAGCATCTGATATAATTATTTTCTGGCAGGTAACAGAAACTTGTGGGGATGTCGATAACTAACTTGTTTGTTCTTAATTAAAATGGTTTTATTAAACGTGTTTTAATATGAAAAAATGATTTGTGAATAATACCAATATGATTAAACAGCCGCAGACATACTATTTTAAGTAAAACAAATTCATATTACTACCACAAATGGTAATTGCACTTCACTTAAAACTTATGATTTTCATTGAGTTTTAATTAATTAAACAACAATTAAATAAATCTAGGTTTTATTACACAGCCTTATATGATAACAAAATATAAGTAAGTATATAATTGCAAATATAGTTTTAAAAGAAAAAACTATTTTTAATTGAACCTTCAAATTGTACAAAAATTAAGTTTAAATAAACTTTAATTAAAATTAATTAAGTTCATCTTTGGGAATAATGTTCACTTAGAAAATATTAATGCTCCTTTACAAATGACTGACAATTGAGAAAGAAAGACATGCTTTATTATATTTGATGATTAAATATTTTTACAAATTTTCCAGCTGCATTGGACTTATTGAGGTCCGACTGCCCCATCTCATCGATAAGTCGCTGATGGCTTTGTTGTGTTCCGCAGCAGGCACGTTTCGCTGGCCTGGGCCGGCAATTAGGCACGAATAAAATAAAATGAGTGCTCACTGCACTGACAACATTTACCCAAATTAGCCGCTAAACACAGAAATAAAAAGCCAACATCAAGTCGGTTAATTGGGCAGCATCCATGTGGCCGGGGTGAAATAAAAGGAAAAGCCGGCCAGCCAGTAGAGCCAAGCCATATTAGTGCCCGCGATGATGATGGCGGCAATTATGCATGGGCTATTCGGTTTGGAGAGGGAGGGGGAGGGTTTTTCTACTGGTCGGGGGGGCTTTTCTTTTGGGTGGTGCTGGCGTTGCCAAAAGTGCTTTTGTGGGTGTTGCTGTGTGTTTGGCGTGTTCCGTGTGTGTGCGTGGCTCCACTTGGTCAACTGCACGTGCGGCTATCGCGAAAGCCATACAACGTTGGGCAGCTGCAAAATTCAATTTGGCTATGCGCAAAAAATTAGCAACAATTTCCTAAAAATACAGTGCGAGAGGCCTTCAACCCACCTCCCACCAAAAAAAAACACCCCTTCCCCCACAACCACCCCAATGGCTACAACAACAAAGAAAAGCGTCAACAGGCACGCAATATAATTGAGTGGATGCCAAAGTGTGGGTGATTCGGCCGGTGTGGGTGTGGGTGGGACAGAGACGGGGAAGGGGCAGGAGAGAGATAGCAAAAGAGTGTGTGACGGCACGCGCTGTTGAAAATGCGAAAATGGGCTTAGTTCAGTCGCCTGTATTTTCCTATGCCTCAAAATGCACCATCGACGACTGAGGAAATTTAATGATCAAGTTGGCATCGAGGGCCTGAAGTTTTAATACCCTTGCAAAGGATACTCTGATTTTGATCAGAAGAAAGTTACGCAGTGAGTGATTATTATGGTTTTGATCAGAAGAAAGTTACGCGGTGAGTGAGACATTTTCGACCCTATAAGGTATATATATATACTTTTTTGTAATAACAATGTTCATTGCTAACCTTTGCAGGATCAGTTTAATAGTCTGTTAATAATTTATTTTTATTTTTACGCATTCTCAAGGTACAAAGTCACTTGGGGTTTTTTTTATGTGTTCAATTATTTAATATTTAAAAAAAAAAGAGAAGTGATATAAAATTGCAAGCAGTAAATTATTTTTTTTAATAGATATTAACAAAAGATTCAAAATTTCTCAGTTTCTCATCCAACATTAGTCGAGTTTAAAATGACTTATAGGACGTTTAACAATATATTTATGAAATCAGAAATGGTATTGTTTAGAAAAGTTTATTGTTTTTCTTTTGTTATCTAATGCTCGATAATTGCCAATCAAATTTTTAACAAACCTTTGTTAAAGTTCTCTACCGTCCTTGATAGAGATCTTTTGGATTGACGGACTATGAGAAAGACATTACTATAAGATTGGTTGTTATCAGCAAGGCTGGCCATTATCAATCGGTCGGTATGAACTTCCAATCGGGTTTGGTAAAATTCTCAATAGGTTGACATGATTGTGTCAAAGGTCTATTGGGATCATACACGCAATATATCGAAGCTGCGCATACACATTGGCTTCCAAAAATGCATGTTCCGTTGCAACTTAGGCAATGACCAGAACACCTTTTTAAGCATTCGGAATCAGATTTATATGTAAAAGACGTTGGATGGTTTTTGGGATCGCAGGGAGTTAAGGCCAGAGCTATTTTATGCCCCAAGAATATAGGGTTCCAGCCAGATGGAACTATGTTTGCATAAAGCACCGTCAGAAATGGAGGTAGCGCATATGCGGATGCGCTTATGGCCAAAAAGCTCACACAAGCGAGTACTACGAAAAAAATAAAAAAAAAATAATAATTATATGAAAAATGTTTTGTTTTACAAATCTTACGCTTCATTGTTCTGTATAGCCAATTTTTTTTATATATGATCGTGTTTGCAACTATATTTAATGTTTTCTTTACATCGCAGAAGGTTGCCAATAGAAAATAAATTAGTTAAAGAATGGTGCTAATTCAGCACTTGAATTTTCGTTTAAATCAGAGGCATTATGCCATTCTCACTCGTTGAAAGCGAAGCAATTGAATACACGATGGTTGCTTGAGTACTGATATCATTGACACACTGGTCGGCCTTTTATACAAGATTTGAGAGTCAAGGGTGGTTCCAGGCGATTAAGACGCTTGGGGGATTCCAGTTTCTTTGATAAAAGTGAAATTGAATTTTTCTTCACGAAATTGGTTAAAGTCATAAGGTCTACGTGTTATCGCTGAGATATTTTTACTCTGGTGTTCCACACCACTATATATAGTTACATGAATTTTAAACAATTGGGTAAGACATATTTCTCAATAAGATAAATATTTAATTAATACCGCGAAAGTATCAAAATAAAACTTTTGTGGTTTAATGCTTGTTGTCTGTTTAAGACTCTTCGGTATAGAAAAGAAACTAAAAAGTATAGGGGTTATATTATTAAGTGATGAATGAATAATTATGCTTTAATACTTTCTTACTAAAACTAAACTTTCAGTTTTTTTTGAGTGCAGCTAAATTCAAACCGAATTCGAATTGACATTCGGTTGAAAGAGATTTCTGTTGCACCCTAGATAAAAACTGAGTGTTTGGAACCCTCAAACATTGAAACTCAGCAGATAAGTTAAAACGGAAATGCTCACACAAAACTATCTTACATGTTATAATTTAAGTTTTTGTGTATGCTTTCTTTTTCTTTCCGCCCTATTCTCTCTTTATAAATAGCAAGAACGACCGCTTTAATATAGTTCCCCGACTACAAAACACCTTTTATTTAAATCTTTTAGCCTTTCAATATATTAACCCCAAAAATAAATTGTAAACTCAATTTAAATAAATGTTTTAAAAATAACTATTTTATTAACCTAATCGCGCTATCCGCAAAATAAGTCTTGCACATACGATATGGGCAAATTATATGCAATAACCACAAAATTTTTGTAATCTTTATATATCTAGTAACGTATTTAGCTACACTTTTTCAGACCAAAAACATTTATATATCAAAATGCTTTTGATTTGTTAGTCTAAAAGTGGGCGTGGGAAATTGGCTCATCATCACTCATACTTTGAAATCGCCTTTATTTTAGGGTGAATTTTTTTTAGCTTATTTCGTGCTAAAAAAGCTTCAATTTGTTTTAGAATTCGCTTGTGACATTTTATTAAAACAAATAATTATTTTCAGGAAATATTTTCTTGGATGTGCCTTTAGTTATTTTTTATTTTTATTACATCAAACATAACATTTTTTTAGTACCAAAAACGACTCAAATATAATATGCCCTTTTATTGTGCGAGTAATGGGTACAAAAATCTACCGGAAGAACTCAATTAAGAGAGGCAAATGACAAGCTAAACAGGCGTTTAACTCACGCATATAAACGCAAAAATGTAATACTTACATTTGTATCAAAACAAATATTTCACTTTTTAATAATATTTAATTGTAGATTTCTCTGGTTCCCAAGGACTTATTTTTGCGGTGTTCACAAATCATGAAAACTAAGAAAACGAAATAAATGGACAGCTATTTATCATTCAGCAGTCACTTTAATTCGATTTGACAGTGGCCAAAGCATATTCTTTCCATTTTACATTCAAATGCTTAGCAATTTAAGAGATTGAGTTTAATATTATGTTTGATCAACGAAACATTAGGGCATTTTTATGGTCGCTTTTGTTCGTTTGTTGTAAATGAATTTTGTCCGATCAATGGTATTTCCTTAGCTGGCCAATTTCAATTTTTGTTTTGCCTTTGTTTTCAACGTTGCAGCCGTTTTTGTTGCGGCCGTTGCAATTTCGAGCATTTGTTAACGAATTTGTTTGCTTGTTGAACAATTTGAGCGTTCCGCTCTTTTCGCATCGCCCATTGTTTGTTTTCCCGGCATTGTTGCAAATGACGTGGCAGCTGTAGACCGCTCTGTTTCGCTCTGACACGCACTTAACCCGCTGCCCACCGACCTCCGCCCCACTGGGATTGCCTACGTGCCGCGTTTAAAAAACAATCAATTTTAATTTCAATTTAAATTAGTTGCTGCAATTCGCCATTAAATTATTTTTGCTCATTTTTGCCACTGCTCTTTTGCCGGCGACTGTAATGCAATTTAGCGATTGTTGCCTGCACTCTATTGTTTAATTTCATTTATTACTAAATTCCGGCCAAACGGCTGGGCAAAGGCAATAAATTTCACTTTAAAATGTTGTTAGAAACAGTGAGTGACGAAATTGTAATTAAGGGTAGTCAAAATGGTCCATTGCCGCTTTTAACTGTTTCTCTGCTTTAATTATTTTTCCAAATTATTTTTAAAATTAAAAATTAAATATGAAACAGCAGTTATTTCCCTAATAACCTTACACTTTTGAAACGCAGTGTTTTGTTTGCATCTACAATTGGATTTAATTTCAATTCCAAATATTGCTCACCTCCTAACTTTTTACACATCTCATTTGCGAATTACTAAACATAAGCATATTAAAACTGCAAAAATCGCCAACATTTGTGTATTAATAATTGGAATGTGGCAAATGTATGTGTCTCTTTTTTGTATTGTTTCAATTTAATTTCGGATTAAAAAGTTAAAAGCACGACATCAAGAGCAACATCTCTCGCATTTTCGGCACTAAAATGCAACTTTTTGTTAGTTTTACCAGAACCCAAACAGGTTTTGCCCCGAATATATAATTTAGTTCTGATGCGAGTCGGGATCAAGTGTTGAGCTTAACCCGCAACCTAAATCAATCCGTCGGATACGCACACGCACTGGGGGATTTCGGGATACAAAACTGTATCTGTATCTGCCGCTGGCGCTAAACTACTTAACAGCAAATTTTGCGTAATTTACGTCCTGACCAAGGAACAGATGGCATTCCAAACGAAGTTTGTGTATCCGTATCCGAGGAGCACATTCGACAGGCAACTGTGGCTGCAGCCGCAAACATGTGTTCCTTTAAGCAAGAAACAGACGACTTTCGGGGGGCGGATTCGGATACGGGGATAAATTATTGGGTGCGCCGTCTGGACTCCACCTCCTGGCCAAAGAATCTGAGTATCTTTGTATCTGCTCATCCGCACATCCGCACACACGTCCTCGTCCACATTTGCGTATCTGCGGTTGCGTGGTCTTAGCCTGTACCGAATCAAAGCATTTAATGGCGCTTTTAATCTTGTTAATCGCCCCTTTCTGGCCCGACTGAGATTTTCAGATAGTTTCGACCGCTTGTTTATGTGGATCTGCTGCCGGGGGCGTGGTGGGCGTGGCACACGAAAATTGCCATGGAGCGGATACGTAGTTAAGTTGTGATAAGCCCCAAAGGCTTTACCGCACAGCTGACCAACCAGGCAAAGAAACCAACGAAATTGTTGCATACTTGCGGGAGTCTTTAAACAAAGTAAGGGATCTGGACGAAAATAAAGAACTTTAAACAAAGTAATGGATCTGGACGAAAATGAAGAACTTTATCTGGGCGAACGCTCTGGGAATAAAACGAAATCATCTTATCCACTTTAGCGTCCGTCAAGGACAATTTTGACATGTTCAAATCCTTTTTGCAAAGTCCCTCTTCGAGTTCCTCCAGTCTCGCACAATGAATATTATTTCTTTATGCAAATATCCTCTGGAGCTGCCACTTGTTGGGTTCCATCTTCCCGGTCTCCACTTTCGCCCATTTGCGTGATATTTTGTTGAGCAAGACAAATGATTTCCATTTAATTTATTTTCAGTGCTCCGCTCGTTGTGCTTGGCTCGTGGCGGCAAAAGGATTTAGCTGAATAAATTATAGGTTGAAATTGTTACATCCTAGATGGGTAAAAGGGGGAAGGATAGCCGAAGACAAGTGCAAATAAAATAAGGGCAAGCGCACCAGGCGCTGACAAATGCTGGCCAAAAAGGGGAAGCTCTCTGTGCAGCCAGCGATACGCTAAAAATGAATTTATCGCTGCTCTATGGCTGCTCTTGAAAAGTCCCAAGGATCCAGTTACTTTGTTTCCACTCAGAGGAAAATGATTCAGTTTTCTATACACACAAAGTATTACGATGATAATACATAGAGATATTTTGTTGATACACAAAGAAAACTTAGCTTTTATATTTAATGCTTTAATGCTGAAAAAACTTACCCTGTTTTAAAATAGCTTAATTAGTAAAATAAAACATTTAACAAAGTATAAGTGAAAACTAAATGGATAAAGAGTTTTACTTATCAAACTTCGTATTTTTATCTATTTTTAAGACAAACCTTTCGTGGTGCCATTCCAATTTATTCTTCTCTCCGCAATTACCTTATTTTTTTCAAAAGAACCTTTGAGCTGGCCAGTCCCCTTGGCTGCATTAATTAGCCGGAGAAGAGAACTTGGTCCGAATCAGGTATTTGGGGGCTTAAGTCAACATTGCCAGCTGGTCAACTGGAATCCTTCCCTCCAGACACACGTGTGATTCCATCTGCTCCCTCCCACCAGCTCCTCCGTCCCTACTTGTGTGTTTTTGTGTGTGGGGGCAGCGCTCAGTGAAATTTCACACTTTGTCGCTTTGCATATGGGCACGTAAGTGGCAGTTGGCTGCGGGACGAGGGAAGGGGGAGGGGAGGCCAATGGAGCTGCAAGCGATTACAAACGCGCCGACTTGTAAATGGCGGCCAAAGCGGAGCTGCTGCGACTTTGGCTCTGGATTTCGCTTTTGGTTCTGGCCCCGTTCCTGCTGGCATCGCGTGCCGTTTTCGCGATAATGAAATCGAAAGGCAATGCGCACACAGCCAGCTATAAGCTATAAGCTACAAGCCGTGAGCTTCGAGCTCGCAAACCGTTGCCAACTGGCAGCGATTAAACTGTGGGCTGTTCCCAAAAACGAATTCTCAGAAACCTTACTCAACAAAAGCCTTTTTAATAGCAGGGTAAAATGTTCTTGCTTTTAGCTTCATTTAAATATGTTCAAAATGGGACAATCACTCACTAGCCGCCTTATTATTTAGCTATGAAATGTGTAATTTCTTAGGAAAAAATGGAAAGTTAAGCTTTAGACTTGGGATACTTAATCTAGTTAAACTTTATTTTTAGGATATTATAGCG